CTGGTTCAACAAAATACTTCAAGATACAAGTAATCTGACTGACCTGGGAGCTTCACAGCAGCAGAATTAACCGCCGCAGACTTCGGCTGCATTTTGTGCGGCACGGGGAGCAGTCAGCGATGCGCAGTGGGTGTTTTCACGTGGACACACTCACCTCTCCGGCCCGTCCCCGCGGCGGAGCGGGCTGTCGCCTCGTCCGGCCGTTACCCCACCAGCTCCCGCTCTGCCCGGCGAAAGCCAACGGGAGACGCCGACTGCTCCTTTGGCTCGGGCGCTTTTCCGGGGCTGGCAGAGGGACCCTGCAGCTGGGGCGGCGTACGGGGCCTCGGCCGAGGCGCATCTGCTCCGGTGGTGGTGGTCAGGCCCCAGGGGCTCCCCTGCTTCTGCTAGGAAAGTTTTAGAGGAAAATACGTTTGCGATGCTTCAACCCGAGAGACTCTCTCCTAAATTAGCAAAAGGAAATGTCAACTACGTTTGGGATCTCAGCTCATAGTGTTTCCATGCGCTTCAAAGTTACAACGGCCAGCTGAAAAACTTCTCCCAAAGGGAAGGCAAAGGTGGCTGGTGCGGGGGGCGGCCGCAGTCCCGCAGAAACCCCGCTGCGCCCTTCACCCCCCCCAGTGCTGTTTTACACAGAAAAAGCCGTGGGTCTGAAAACACCACAGTGAACAGGACAAAAGGCATTGCTTTCAACCCTTCTCCTTCCACCCGAGAGGGCTGGGCACGTTGTAAGGGAAACATTATCCCGGGAACAGCTGTGCAAAGCAGGAGGGAGGAGGTCGGCGGCAAAGAGATGGGCAATTTCTCGAGTCTCACTACGGAGGGATTCAGAAACGGAGGGAAACCCTCTGTGTGAAGCCAACATGGCGCTGAGCACAGCACAGCGCAAACCCAGCGAAAGCGTCCGTCTCCCCAGCTCTGGCGCGTGACGCGAGGCACGGGGACGGTCTGGGAGGGGGCCGAGGAGACAGACCTACAAGTGGCAACGCACACGTGGCCTCAGGGATGTCCCTGCGGAGACCCCGCTGCCTGTGGGGAGCTTTCCTGGGTGGGACAGGCGGCTCAGGGCTCCTTTCTCGGGACAGGGGGGAAGGAGGGGAGGCCCCAGAGACTTACCTCCCCCGGAGAACGTGATGGAGAGCTCGGAACTGCAGAGAGAGCCCAGAAACTCGGCGCCGAAAGGCAGGGAAGGGGCCCTTCTGGTTAGGTGCTGCTCCACCCGGCAGTACGCCCAGAGAGATGTGTTGCAGCTGCCGGACCGTGGCTGAGATGTTCCCGAAAGGGCACCCAGGGATGGAGCATCCCCGAAGGAGAAGGGCTGAAATTCTTGGTGATGGTGAGACAAAGACATCCGCACCCCTTGGGATAGCGCTGGTGGTAGAAGATGACCCCAGGTACCTCATCCAAAGGACGATGTCCTCTCCTGCAACCCAACGCTTGGAGCCAACTCGTACTCGCGGGTTTGGCTGAAACACCAACTATCCTGGCGGGGGGAGCGGTCTGCAGGGCAAAGTCCGGCTTCAGCTCCATCCAGAAAGCTTTATAATGACAAAGGTGCTGCGAGGAAATAAAGTGAGGTTACTGAGCGCTCCCCCTAAGCCACAGGACGCACAATACACCGAGGGTGATATTTGGGTTACCTGATATCTCAGCATCATTTATTAACCAGCAGATGCGAATAAATTATTTCTCTGCTCTTTGGAGAACAAAACAGCGCCAAGGCCTTGCTGAAAAACCACTTGGATGGGAAACAACACGGCGGGGACCTGTTGCTGAAAGTAATTAGTGGGCAAACATGCAACGTGGGTGCAATGTGCTGCTTCTCCAGGTGCTATAGGCACCCGGGGCAGCCAGCAAAGATAGAGACACGGTCAGAAACGCAGGCACAGAGTCCAGCTCCTGGGACGGAGGTGGGACACAGCAGGCAGTGCCGCGGGAAAGGCGCTTTCTGTGGCTGAAGCTCTACCAACGCAGATCCTGATCCCGCTTTTAAGGTAAAGACAAAACACACCTGCAGTCAGGAGGGGAGAACAAACGGCAAAACCCAGCACCAGAGCCTGTGATCCACGCACCGCCAGCAGCCAAAACGACAGTGTAAAGTGGAATTGTAGAGAGGAACTTAAACCAAGAGGACTAAGTCATGCAACAGGGAGCGTAAGACTTGCTTATTTTTTTCCAAAGCAAGTAACTGCTTCGGAGGCATTGAATTCTCATCATGGAAAACAACCAAGGACGTGGTCTTGTACCTGCGCTGGCTGGGTTTGAGCAAGAGACCTGCAAAGCCAACTCCACCGAGGAGTCTCGGGCTCTTCCCTCACTGTACCAGGAAGCGTTTGGCACGAAGAGGCCCGTGACTGAGCGTGGCAGTTCACCACCAAGACACTGCGAGCGCACACACCCGCCTGCGCCGCTGCCAACGGGCATCAGCAAGAACCCACCGAAATGAGAAACGCGCTTTGCGCAGTTGAATTATAAAAGTAGCTCTTGTCACCGCATTAAGCTTTGATTAATGCCCCAGGTATCAATTACCGTTTCACATTCAGCGTCTCTAATAGTTTTCACCAGTCATTAAACACGAAGCTAAGGTGGCGTTTGAGATCAGCCCTCGAAAGCGGCCGAGCACAGACCCA